TCCTGTAGGTGCTAAGTCAATGTTTGAATGGAAAATGAGTCACTAGGAGAGCACTGTCAAAACGTTCTTCCCTTTGACTAGGAAAGATGATAAGAATTGCTTTCAAATATGTGATAAACTCTGAGTGGCACCACTTATTGTACTTCCATTTTTTCCTTGTAGTCTTGATGTTTAGTTCAGGGAACGTGCTGGAACAGAGAGATTCCCACCACTGCTACCTCCACTGCCTTCCTTTCCTCACGCCACCTGCCCTAAGACAGAAAAATGTAAATCCCTAGTACCTGGCAGATGCTCAGTTTATAATCTGAATTCCTAGCCCTGCTTGTGATGTTTATTCTGGATCAAATGATCTTATCTCAATGTTGACTTTGAGTAATAAGCCTGCAGAGTTTCTTGTATCAGTGAAATTCCTCCCTTCCCCGACTCCTCTATATTTCTTCTTTTGCATCTTGCTCTGATCCCAGTGTGGACATAAGGTAAGGTATCAGGTGGGTGCACCTCACAGGTCAGAGACATGGCCAGGCATTTCTTTTGAGTGGAAGTTGACCCAAAGAGTGATGTGTTCATACTAGGAAAGCACACAGATCTCTGCCCAAGTGTCTACTACTTCTGCTATTTCTCAAATCTACCTAAAAAGTTCCCAAAGCCAAAATGTTTTCTGACTATTTTCTATTAGAGCCATTGTGTTTGTTTTGTTGTGTGTGATAACTCTGGGCTTGCATCACTAATAGCCCTCGATCCCTGTATGTTGGTTGGAACGACACTGCCTCACTTGTGTTAGGCTGATAGCTTTAGAGGAGGTTATACCAGGTGATGGACGCACAGACGCTGCGTGTTCCTGAGGAGCTAGCCGTGTAACACGGATGTGCTTTGGGAATGGAGCCGCTGTTGGAAGGGGCTGCTGGCCATGGTGCTCCGCAGTCAGCACGTATTTCTTGAGAGCCTGTTTGGCAAAGTTTATTGGTGGGCAGTGGCTCTGGCTCCTTTTTGACGACACGTTAAAAGCCAGGTTCTTTAGGATGACCTTCAAGACTTTGGTGAGCTATCCCAAATTTCCTTTCCCCATATTGTCTCTCAGTAGATGACCTCCTTGGACTATCAATTGTCAAAAGACTCCTTAACCGTGGTTAACTTCTAAAAAGAATTTATTTAAATCCTGCTATTGCACACCTTTAGGCAAGCCGCACAGAGTATGGGAAGCAACTCTCCCACAGCTCAGAGTGGGCATTTTGGGTTGTCCAACCTGCCTCGTGTCCAGTCTGCCTTGTGGCTTTCATTTTGAGGCTAGTATTTAAAACCAACATTTTCATTGCCTGTGGCATCTTCATGTGTATGGCGTGTCCCTCTCCATCACACAGGTTCCTCCTCATATCCCTGTGTCAGCTTTTTTGTAAGACTGTTTGAGGGCTCCCAACATCCCATGTTGGTTGTACTTTAAGTTAGAACGTTCTAAACATACCATCCAAATTTGGTGATAATCTCACCTGCCATTTTCCTCTCCCTCCCCTTCAACTTTTCATTTTGGAAAAAGTTCAGATCTACAGCAACACTGAATAACTGGTACAGTGAGCACCCACATATCCTTCGCTAGATTCATCAGTCGTTAAGATTCTGCCACATTTACTTTCTCTTTCTTTATATGTGTTGTAGCAGTGATGCAATCTAATATACAATATGTGTTCACACTCAATAATGCCGTCTGTAGAGGTTTTCTTTTAATTCGGGATTCAATTACGGATCACACGTTGCCTTTAGTTGTCGTGTCTTTTAGTGGTCTTTAATCTAGAATAGTTTGTCCCCTTTTGCAGGGTGGCTGCTGGTGGTGTTTTGGAGGCTAAGGGAGGAGGGCACCCAGACAGGGACTGCCCTGGAGTTTCAGCTCCTTGTGAGACCTCCCTTTGGAACTGCAGCCGGACCAAGGGCGGGGAGACCGTCAACACTGAAAGGGATAATGTTGTATATGATAAATAAGGGAAGTATTCAGGACATGTGTGTAGTTATTTGGTGGTAGGAAGTGTGAGTTCAGGAAGAGGGGACAGGGCGAGGGAGGGAAGTCATGTTGAAGGAGGAAGCAGAGGATTTGGAACCCCAGATGGTGAGCTATATGGAATAAATTAAAATGCTCATGCCTGTTCTACGATAACTTAATTCACCTTTTATGAATTTTTATTACTGCCCCAAAGGTTCATTTCTATTTCTAGCCAATAATTCCAACAGTTTTACTTTAAAAAAAATTCAGTACCTTTACTTATTCATGGCAAAGATGGAGCAGACCCCTATTCCTCTTCTCCCTAGACTTAGGAAACCCTGGTGGATTGCTTTCCTGTGAGACCTGCAATTTCTTACTTATAAATAATTCATTTGAAGCTCAGGTGAAGTCTCTTGACTGTGAAAACTGGCAGCATTTGCATATGTGTGGGGAGGGGTCTTCTAATTTTCAGCAGCACATTTGATATCTAATAAAAACGATCTCAGAATTTTTAAAGACGATGTTAATAAGTCCTTAATGGCGCTGTGATTGGAGGTGGATATACATGTAGGACCTAGAAAGATGCCCGTGGTGTTTCTTGCGGTGACTGTGCTGTAAAACTTGTATTGGTTGGCGTGGTGTCTCCCAGCCAAGCATCCTGCACCCGTGCTGGGAGAGCGCAGGCTGAGCTCCAGGGAGCAGCCGCGCTGGGTGCGTTTCACAGGAGCACAGAGCTCCTTCCATCTCCTGTTTTCCTTTTTCAAGGATTGGTTGTTCAACTCTTCTTTCGTTTCCAAGAAATGTAGCACAGTATCCTTCCAGTAAATTCCTCTTTTTTCTTAAGCTGGCTGGCCTTGTTTTATGTTCCTTGTAACCAAAAGAACTTGTTAACAAATACAGATATTTGGGTTGCTTGCAGTGTTTCGTTATTATTTGCAAAACTTCTGGGACTATCTTTGTATATTCATCCTTGTTCGTATCTCATATTTCACATTTTTCTAGAAGTGGAATTTCTGGGTCAGAGGTCACCTGTTTCTGCTTCCCCTGGTGCATCCTGCCAGGTTGGTCTCCAGTAGGTTTGCTAGTTTACGTTCCTGCCGGCAGCTGTACGCACGTGCCTGTCTCCCTGCCTCTTCTGAAGGTGACTGTCACCACGTGTTTAATTTTTGCAAGGGTAACCATTGTGGGAACTTGCCTTTTTTCCCTGCTGCTAGGGAAACAGAATAATCTTTTCACATGCTTATTGGCCTTTTGGATTTCTTCTTTTGTGACTCTTTATATCTTTGCCTTTTTTTTAAAATTAGGTCTTCATCTTGTTTCCATTGATGTGTTACAGTTCTTCATATTAAGGATTCTCTGGCAGATGTGGTAGGAAAATAATCTTTTTCCTAATTTATTTGCTTTTCAACTTTATTTACTGTGTTTTTGAAATTATATTTTTTTAAATTTGGAAATGGTCAAATTATTAAATCTTTTCTTTAAAGGAAGAGCTTTCTAAAGTGTTCTAGACAGGACTGAAATGTGTTGGCTGTCACCTTGTGGCGCATGTCTGGGTTGTGTGTTGGTAGTGAGATAATTGTGTATGCTTACTACAGGTTAGCTGTGGAATGAAGAGAAGTGTGTGGTTTGTACATTGCTTAATCAGTGCATTTATCCCACATTTCCTGAGTGCCTGCTTTGCTGGTGGTGGCAGGGAGATGTGAGCATGCAGGAGTCAGCCCTGGTGGTGGTGGTGGTGGGCAGGGCAGAGCCAGGGGCACGGCCATCTTGATGGAGGAACAGGATTGCGCCAGCCTTTCCTGACCTGTCTGCCTCTCCCTCCCCTCCAGGACATTTTCACTCTAGCCTTGGGCTCGTTCGGTATTTGTTTTATTGGCCTCTTGTTGGGTACCATAAGCAAGCTCCGAAATCAAAAGTTTGAATTCTTTTTTATTTAACCATTTTGCCAGATGTTTCCTGTGGTTTGACAGATGTACCATTTACTCGAAAGTTACACTCCTGAGATTTTGAATGTTATGGACACTGTTGCTATAGACAATGATTCTGTCAGGGCAGGATTTGGAAGACAACTTGCACATCAGTTTTGGGTTGAAGATGTGTTTTTCCCCAGAACAGAAATGCTTGTCTTCATAATCTGCATTTATCTTCTCTGTTATGGCTCTGATCTCTGGTTTGTGAAGACTACACCAGGTTGATCAGTTTATTCCGATGACACCACTGTGCCTCAGTGGGAGGTACTTTCTGAAAGCAGCTGGGCTCAGGTCATCTAGGTTTTGTTTGCAAAACTCACTTGGGTCGAAAAGAACCCAGGTTGTGGGCAGGTGAAAGTTTAAATTGGGCTGAAAATCTGACTGATGCTCCGCTTCTCTGGCCTCTTTGATGCTGGGATATGGTTGAGAAAGCTGCCGACTTGGCCCTTTTCTGCACCCACCGAAGGCCTTTCGAGGGGAACCAGGGATGGCTGTGGTACCCCTGGGTCCCAGGGCCTGCAGTCAGCATTTCTCTGCAGCCTGAGTCCTAACAGCAAAGAGCCTCTCACCGGGATTCTGCTGTGGGGGGGGAAGCAGAAGGAAGTTGCTTCCTACAAAACACCAGTGAGGCTGCAATTGTGGCTGCAGCGGAGGACAGATGGGGATTTTTGACATTCCTTCTCCAAGGGGCCGGCTGCAAGGGTGCTGTGGAGTGGGGCATGCATTGTTCTGGCAGAGCTGGCTCCCTTCTGCAGCAGCCTTCCTCTCCTGTGTTTTGTTTAGCCTTATTTTAGAGTTTTATAAAAGCCTTATGTTATGGAAGATGGAGAAACAAAGAAAGAGGAAATCGCATGCTATAATTCTGACAGCAGATCTATTTTCTCACAAAATGGAACTGTAATGATGCATGTCACGTTTTGGCAAGACACGGTCTGTAAATAAACCCTCCCTGGAGTTGCTAACCTATCCCGGGACCCGTAGGAAACTTTTCTTGCAGCGTGGGGGCAGGCAGGCCCTTACCTTGCAACTGTGCTTTCAGACGGGGACTTTTATTCTGACAGGCATTCTGCCTCTCCAGTTCTGTGCCTGGGACGGCTTGCCAAGTTTGTGAGGCCCAAGGCTTTCTTGTGGGAGGACGCTGGGCTGTCTTCATGCTCTTTGGCAATGATTAAAGTGAGGTTAGTACCAAAAACCCTTTCATTTTATTCCCTTATCCTTGCTTTTTCAAACCAGATGGCAACCCTGTATTTTCAGCTGTAATTAATTTAAACTATGAGGCAGCAAGTGCTGGGAGAGGTAGAGTTGATTTTGCTCAGAAGGGACAGCAGAGATTTTTCTCTCTCATCCCTCTCCCCTCACCAAAGGGCACCTTGTCCCAATCAGAGCTGTGCCACGGACAGTTTCTTCTGAGAGAGGACTGGAAGGAGAGAGAGAGCTGTTTGTGGGCTGGCCACTGAGGGCACGTGTGAGCTGGAAGGTTCATGCACACTAGTAATTGTTTCCTTAATGGGTTGGAAGTAACCAAGTTTCAGGTGATGGCTGACATGTTATTGCCAGGCTGGGCTATCATGTGACCGCCTCTGCACAGTGCTGCAGAGTTTGAGTGGCTGCGGAGTCTCGGGGGGAGGACAGGTTGCTTTTGCTTCCTACTCAGTTCAGCTGCCAGGATCGCCTCCAAAAGGGGGTATGTTTTAGGTTGAACATTTATTCTTAAAGAAAATTACAAGGGAAACGAAAGCACTTGGCCACAATTGAAGTCTGGAGGTTTTGACCTCAGCTATTTGACCACTTCCCTCCGTGGAAATTTTACTTGAGTCTCTCCTCTGTAAGTTGCCCTGGAGTGCAGGATCGGTTAGAGATTGAGTGATCCTCCACATTTAATGGAAAATGAATGCTTTTTGCTTAGTCTCTCAGTAACTTGTAAAATAACTCCCACTCTTTTTCTCCCCTCCTTCCTCCAAAATGAAGCTGAGGTTAAAATGGAGAGTGAAGTAATTGACTACTTGAGAGCCGGGTGTCCGGGTGCCTTCACCTGCCTGCCGAGATAGGTGCAACAGGGTTTTAGTTTCATCGTTTGAGAAACACATTTTCCAGGTATTATGGAGGAGTTGGCGATAGGAGGTCTGTTAACGATAATGTATGTGCAAGGCGCTTTGTAAAACTGTATGCTAATATTATACAAATGGTAGTTATTACTGTAATTAACATGAGCCATCCTCGGATGGAAGTAACTTTTAAAGTCCCATAGTGAGAAATGAGAACCACAAATATGTAGCTCGTGAGTCTCCACGATGCTCAGTGGTGATCACACCATTGTTGACTGCAGTCCCCATGTGTGCCTGAGTTTGCTGGACGTAGTGAGCTGGGTGGTGGATGTTCTTTGTTTATTTAATTTTTATGTCAAAATGTTTACATTGTACATTGCTCTCATGAACCACTGGGACTGTGTTTACAAAGATTTGCATTTGTTGTTGTTGTGGACCAGACCCATCCTTTTGGAAACCTTTTATTTTTCTCTAGTAGAGAGGAGCAAACGTGTAGTGAAAAATGCACCCTGTAGTTCCAACCTCCTTCAATACTAGTTTTTTGTTTGTGTGATTGTTTGTTAAAACGTCTAAGGACTAAAAATTAAACATAGAATTACCGTATAGTCCAGCAAGTCCACTTATGAGAATATACCCCAAAGAATAGAAGAGATGTTTGCACGCCTGTATTCAAGGCAGCGTTCTTCACAGTGGCCAAAAGGTGGAAACAACCGAAGCGTCTGTCACCAGATGAATGGATAAACAGCTTGGGCTTTATCCACACAATGGAATACTATTTGGCCTTAAAAAGGAAGGACATCCTGACACATACTACAACAGGGATGAACCTTGAAGACATTATGCTAAGTGAAATATGCTAGTAACAAAAGGACAATAGAGTCTGATTCCACTTATATGAGGAGTCAGATTCATAGAGACAGGTAGTAGAATGGTAGTTGCCAGGCAATGGGGGGGATTGCGAGTTAGTGTTTAACGGGGACAGAGTCTCAGTTTGGGAAGATTAAAAAGTTCTGGAGATGGATGGTGGTGAGGGTTGCACAACAATGTGAATGTATTTAATGCCACTGAATATAATTGAAAATGATTAAAATGGTGAATTTTATGTTATGTGCATTTTACCACAGTAAAAACATTTTAAAAACCTTCTGAGGACTAATAGTTAACTTCTGTTCACTTGAATTAACAATAATGCGTGTTATTATGTGTTAAGCTGTTGTATTCTGTACTCTGCTGGGATGAGCAATGTGTAAAGAGGTAAGCAATTTGGAGCACAGAAGTTCCGCTCTCTGAGAATATATTTGGTGCCTAATAATAGAGAGTTGCAGTGTGACGACTCTTGGGGGTGGTAATTTTAATTTAATGGGTAGTTAAGATTAACCATTGCCATTTGGTTTTGAAAGTCCTCATGAAAAGGAAAGGGTTCTGTGACTTGGGGCTTTGGGGGATGGTAGTCCTCTGGATTATCAGAAGCCACTTTTTTTTATCCCCCCCCCCCCCACCCCAGGAAGCTTAGCCCTGAACTAACATCTGCCAATCTTATTTTTTTTCTGAGGAAGACTGGCCCTGAGCTAACGTCCGTGCCCATCTTCCTCTTCTTTATATGTGGGACACCTGCCACAGCATGGCGTGCCAAGCGGTGCCATGTCCACACTTGGGATCCGAACCGGTGAATCCCGGGCCTGCGAAGCGGAATGTGCGCACTTAACCGCTGTGCCACGGGGCCAGCCCCGGAAGCCCCTTTTAGAATCTTCAACTCAGGAGTTTGGAAAAATATGCCAGTTGAGTGTTGAATGCAACCATCAGGTTGCCCTGGGTTTCTTTTTCTCCCTTCTTTTCAGGGTTTCAGGGTTCCGGGTTTCAGGTTGAATATGGTGTTAATAGCCAGGGGATTGCTCTTAGATTTAGTGATGTTACAGCACAGCTAAGCAGACTATTCAGGGAAAGTCAGTGCTGAATTCCACGAAGAGTTGGAAAATGAGAATATTTGTAAAGAAATGCAATTTTATAACTCAGAGGAAAATGAAGTAGGCCATCAATTTGTTTTTTTTCAGGTCCCTTGGGATCTTTGCTGTAAGAATAGAGATGGATTGGTGATTTGCCTATCACTTGTCCATATAGTGGTGGCCTTTGTAAGTACCTGAGGGTCCTCAAAATAATCTCTAACTAATTTAAATTTTGTTCCTATGTTAAAAAAAAATAGCTTAGCCAACCTTTTCCTCTAGATTTTGGAAAGATGGAGTTCAGCTTGGAGTGCCTGGTTGCTCAGAGGGGAATTAATGTATTAAATGCTTAGAATTAATGCACTATGTAATCTACTCCCAGATGGAAGGTCCTTTAGGTCCTCTCATAATTTTATAATCAATAATAATTTAATAATAGTAATAAATATTTTAAAGAATATTTGGTAGACACCTCAGTATTTTTTATTAGATGAGCGTTTAATCACTTTTTTTTTTTTGAGGCAGATTAGCCCTGAGCTAACATCCGCCACCCATCCTCCTTTTTTTGCTAAGGAAGATTAGTCCTGAGCTAACATCCGTGCTCATCTCCCTCTACTTTATATGTGGGACGCCTACCACAGCATGGCTTGACAAGCGATGCGTAGGTCCACACCTGGGATCCGAACTGGTGAATCCTGGCTGCCCAAGCGGAACGTGCGAAATTAACCACTGCGCCATCGGGCTGGCCCCCATTTAATCACTTTATATACTCAATACTGAAATTTTCAAAGTTTTTAGTATAGTCGTATAGTTAACTCAGTAATGTAATTTTGCCCATGAAGTTTCTAATGTCAGTCAGGGTAGGTGGGTGGTTTTAAAGGAAAAACTGGCTTTCATAATTTTTGCTTAGTGTTGAATAAATGTATTGAATTAGAGGTTATCCTCATACCAAGCAGTCTGCGAGATAATTTGGCGCTGGTTACCGTCACATTGGGACCAGACATTCGGAGGGCGGCTTGTGTTCAGGTGGAGGAATGTGGTTGTGTAGGTGCGTGTACGGGAAGGGGGGGTTGCAACAGACCAACCCCCCCTTCCCGTACACGCTGGATGGAAGTTTGATAGTCTGTCTCTGATGTGCATGCACATATGCTGCAGATATGAGTAGGAGTTCATGTACAGCTCTCTTTAGCCAATATGAGCTGAATTCAAAGAGGGAAAAGTAGGAGGGTTTTAGGTGACCACACGCTTACTATGTGACATGGCTGCTGAAGTAACTTGGCATCGTGGGTGGTGCTGTGACGAGTGTGGTTCTAGATGACTGCTGGGCTTAGAATAATCCTGATTTCTAGTGTCCTAGTCTGTTGACCATAGTTCGTTCTTAGTCGACCTTCTGCCCTGACCTTTGGTTCAGAAAGAAGGCAATGATCTTCCCCTGTGTGCTCTGTTCTTTAGGTCACATCTGGATATTATGGGTTGCACGCTTACAGATGGATGCTAACTTGGAGAGCGTGCAGAGCTGGGTGACAGCAGGGTAAGGGGTCTGCTATTAGGATAATTTGGAGGGGTCCTTGTTTGGTGAAGAGAATTCTGGGTGTGGCAGGGAAGAGGAAGTGACTTAACTGAGTTTTCAAAGGGCAGACCTTTGACCGAAGAACCATACTGGAAAGCAGATTTCATTCATTATGAGGAAGAACGTTTTATGGAAGTTTTTCAATAGCTGAGTGAATTGTCTAAAGAGGAATTCAGCGCCCACCCCTGGAAGTGTGCCACAGGTAGCTGCTCAGCAGTCTTTAGGGACGCTGCCATTCCACATCCCTCTCGTTGTGTCACGGCCATTTCACCGTGCAGCTCTCTTCCCCTGAGTAGGAGAAAGCACCCGGTCTTTTCCCTAAACTATTTTATAATGTTTTCCAGTGATTTGCTGCAAAATGTGGAATAACAGCTAAGCGTGAGCCTTCAGAAGAATTTGAATAGAGTTAGGAAAGATGGCGTGGTACAGCCCAGAAGAATGAGGGTGGAAGAGACGGTCGAAGGTGTTTTCAGACTGTTGCTTTCTGGTGGGTTTGCGATGGCTGGAGTTGCTTGTCCCCTGAGCCAGAGGCTCCCTGGCCGCCCAGAGTTCTGAGCCCCTTGGTCTTATTCAAGCCAGTTGCTGCTGGTTTTTCTAAGGAATTCATCTGCTTTTTGGTTGGC